AATTAATTAGGAGATATTTAGAATTGACCAACCAGAAGATGACACGTGTCCCTCCGTTTAAATGAGTGATATATTTGAACCCAAAGTATGACTACAGGAGTATAGATAACCCAATAGTATAACGAGGGGTATTCTTAGACCATTTTTTAAAGTAGAGGGGTATATTTGGCCCTTTGCCGATCATTCTATTACTAGTGTTAGAACCCATGCGATGCGCGGATAATTTAACAAAATATTAATCTTATAAAATTATGATCTAATATGTCATATTATTTTAATAAATATTAGTTATTATTTTATTATTTAATATAGTGTACATAAGTATAATAAAATCTATAAAAATCAAAGGATACAAAGCACTATAGTAATTAAATAAATTATTTATTCCTTATTTATTCTTTATTAAATTAGCAAGTACTTAGTACTATATATTTACTAATGTGACTTTTTATTAACTTGTCAATTGGCTTAATATTTTTATATTACTTCTGTTTTAATAGAGCATAAGTATATATTTTCTTATTTTGGAAATATTTTTTTTATACTTATGTTATCCTGTTCAAAATTCTTCAATTTTCTAAATTTATTAATAATGTTTTTAAGTGTTATTTATTTATTAATTAAAAATATAAATATTATAAAATTATCTTTATCCATCTCTTTTCGTACATTCTTTTATAATATAATATTTGATTAGTTTTCTCATTTTATATTTTACTGAAATTTTCTTATTATGGAAATATTTTTTTTATACTTATGTTATACTTTTCAAAATTCTTCAATTTTCTAAATTTATCAATAATTTTATTTAGTAATATTTATTAATTAAAAATATAAATATTATAAAACTATCTTTATCCCTCTCTTTTCATACATTCTTTTCTACTATAATATTTGATTAGTTAGAAAGGTAGTTTATTTTGTCTTAACAATGCCACTTGGCTTTTTATGATTTTTGTCATAATATAGTGCATTTGCTTCTGCTATTCTATATAGATAAATTGCCCTATTTTTGCAGATTATTAAATTGGCACTCTATTAGTAGATTTTCCAAAAATCCTATGACAAATTAGGATAGTTACAATAAAAATTAAAATTCTTACTTTTTCGAACATGATGAGGTATATGATACAATAGAATTTATGCTATATAATAACTTTGCTAAAGCTTATACTATTTACTATGACGATACAATATACGTGATGCTAAAATTTTAATTTTTTTGAAGATTAACTAAAGTTTATTGTGACACGGTAAAGTTTCTTCAGTTGTGTCAAATTGTTTGCATCAAATCCTTATATTCTTTTTTATTCTCAATTTTATTTTAACAACTCATTAGTCAATCACAACCTTATTTATGCACAAAGACATGCAAAGCAAGTTCAAAATCATGAGTGTAACTTGCTCTAAAGTTATTGCACATTCTCACTAAAATTACACTAAAGAAGATTTCTAGTCTAAATTTTAAATCTAACCAGTTCATTTTTTTAAGGATAAATGTAACCAATTCCTTATTAATTGGCTTTATAACATATCACATTATTGTTGCCATGTTGGATCTATTATTCTTTTCTTTTTCAACTTGGATCTATTCTCATTCTCGCCTCTATTTTTTTTTTTTTTTTTTTTTTTTTTTTTTTTTTTTTGGCTACTGCTCATTCTAATATACATGAGAATATCTTTATAATTTCCATTCTTTCAAAATTGGCGCCAATATTTAGCCGTGATTTGTATTTCAAATCAACTGTTTTCAGTTTGTAATGTACTTAAGTATGACCTATTTTTCCTAACAATTAGTCAATTTGGATTAGTTTGCATGAACACATGTCCTCTCACCCATTTCAAGACTATTTCTTAATTTTCCTTTTGTAGTTATCATAGAAAAAAAAAGGTATTAAAAAAAAGAGGCTATCTAAATTTCGATTTTTTTTGTAACGACGACTACTTAACTTTAGAAAACTTTTTTTTTTCTTTTTTCTTTTACTCTTATACATGGTGTGGTACCTTTTAAATGACATATATGACAAAAATTGGATCAAGTAGTACCTTATAAAGCTATAATTTCCAATCATATGCTTTTCGGATCCAACATGCCTGCCATGTGATCTACCCAAAGTTGTTGAATTTTTTTTTTCGCGGATTAATTATTTTTATAATATCAAAGGTTTCCTGTCTTAGAACTAAATTGTGATTTGTGACACCATGTGACTATGGTTGCAATATATATATATATATATA